CCCCAAAACCCCAAAACCCCAAAACCCCAAAACCCCATTTATCCTTAAAAATGTTGATATTAGTTATTATTGGAAGGAGGTCTTTCTCTATGTGAGTTTAGGTTCGCACCTCCTAGCTGCTTGGATAAAATATTTTTGAGCTCCTCTTTGTTGGATTCATTAATGTCTGCACCTGTTACGATTTTATATTTATCTTCAAACTCAGCCGAGTGTTTGGGAATTTCAGTATTATTTTGATTGTCATAGCCATAGTAGCTGTTTGGTGAATGGAGAGCTTGGTAGCCAGCTCCTGCTAGCCCACTCATATTATTAGAATAACCAGGATGTTCGCCCATTCCTCCCTGGTAATACCCAGGATACCCCATTGGCCCAAGTGCTTGTGGTGGCATCACTCCATACATCGGGGGAGGCATTGGAGGAAGACCACCATACATCATTGGAAACCCTTTATATTTCTTATGCTTCTTTCTTTTTTTATGTTTCTTCTTAGATTTATATCCTTCAGCTGATTCTTTCCTCTTTTGGCTTGCTTCTTCCAGCATCTTAAGTCTCTGTGAGAGTTGAATATTTTCGTACACAAGTTTGGATTCATTTTCTATAAAATTCCCATGCAAGACCTACCCATGCGAGACTGTTTGATGAGGGAGCTAAGCTGGGACTGTTGCTTGTTGATAAGATCCATTATACCTTTAGTCTCCATGTCTTCGTCCTCTTGTTTATTTATCTTGCTTCTCTTGGTTACGTTCTTCAATCTCTTTTTCAATAGAGTCTTTTACTTGCGAGTAGAGTTCGTCCTTCTTGCGGTCTTCTATTTTCTCCTTTTTACGCCTGGCTATGAGAGTTGAGAGAGAGGATTACCAAGTTCATTAGCAAGTTCTTGCTTTCGAGATAGCAGACTCTCGAACTGATGCGTTAGGATTTGTTCATGTTGTTGAGCATCGTAGTTTTGAGGTGTCTAAATTGAGCTTTGGGTACTTACTCCTTGTCCTTGGTATGGGATTTGTGAAGCTTGAGGTGCATGAGGGAGGTTTGGAGCAGATGGACTGTTCATTAATCTTCTAGAGAGGGATTAGAAGATTCTTGATTTCTTAGTGAAATCAATTATGTTGATGATTCTTTAAATGCTATCCTCTTTACTAGCTCATAGAAATATTTATAAGTTTAACCCTTCATTACTTACGCAGAATGGTGCCTGTGAGAAGCTTGAGGTTGGATGACATTAGTCGTTCCATCATGAGGTTTAATTTTACTGATATCATATTTACCTGGAGTATTAGAACCTCCATTGTTTGGAACAATAGGAGGAAGTTTAACTTGCATTTCAGCTTTCTGATCCTTTATTACTCCTTGGTTAAACTCTAATTCTCCAGAAGGCTTCTCAAGATTAGTCATACTTTGAGATTTTGGTAAATAAGACATTTATTTCAATATTTAAAAAACAAAATGGGGTTTTGGGGTTTTGGGGTTTTGGGGTTTTGGGG